TATCAATTGCATTTAATGTATTTTTTACAAACAAAGATTACCGGGGATAATTTTATTTAGTTATTTTAATTTTGTTGCGCTAAAGTACATAAACACATACGTCTTTTGTATATAACTTTTTTTGTAATTTATCTATTTTTGAATCTATCGCACCAGGCGTGGGCACAGCAACTCGATGCAATCGTAATTCGGATGCGACGGAAACGTGTTTGACCTTTATATCCAATATATATTTGTCTACGTTTATAAACGATGAACATATGTTATGCCCCTCCAGTAAACGTCTGAATCTAGTAGTACTACATACGTTGAATATTTTATTACATAAGCCTAAGGTAAATTCTTCCAAATATGGAGTTTAATCTACAAGAGTGGGTAACTTACTTGCGTTAAATAATGGTGGCGTGACTTTTTATGTTAATTATGAGTTAAAAGTAAAATGTTAACTAAAACGTTTCTTTATGTCTAAAGTTGGTAAAAGAGCTGGCGGTTCAACCGATGTTAAGTGATTACCGCCGCCCATGGACATCTAATACAATTGACGGGCAGCTAACATTAAAGCAGTACGCCCCACTCACCACACCACACTCACCAGACGAAACGCGAAAGGATACTTCCAGTTCATGCCAGTCTCCTGTTAGGCCGTGGTACTTCCCTGGACGAGCTTGCCCACAGTTCAAGCTGCTGCGAAGCCATAGCTCTTTTCACACACTTCTTTTTTGAGTGCATTTATAACGGTAAAAAGAACTAAAGGACAATAATAATATTGTTGTTTTGTAAAGAATTGGAAGACAACAGTAATATTGGTTTCTTTTTAAATTTACTTTTAAAAATTATTTTGAAGTATATACCTCCACTCGGAGTGAAACTTAAATGTTTTTTTTTGGAAGAAAAAAGACTGTCACCACTTATGAGAAAAATCTGTAATAACAAACAGTTAACGACTAGATACCTTTTAATTTTAAAATATTTTTGTAAGGTTTATCCTCTTATAAAACCTTTATGTTGCAACTAGCCTCAACGTGGTCGTGTCTCAACGTAGTTTAGATGAGTTTAATTCCAAACTAGAATAAAGAGTAATAACGTACGTAATATTTGATATTGAATAAAACTATTCTTACCTACTATATTGAGTTTATTTCGAACTTGAATTCAATTCAACTTAAAAAGATTGCGATAAATTTCTATGTAGAGAATATATAAGAACATATATAGGAAGTCGTTATGTAATAACTGTGTTATATTCAAATAAGTGAAATAATCGTATAGGACTGGCAGTTGGGATTAAGGGCAAGAGAAGTGTGTTTATTAAAAAGTTTATTTATTTTTTATTTGCTACTTATTTCAAAATTAAATCGTTATAAAAACTAATGCCGCTGATCTTGTATGTTTTACCACGACATTTTCTACTTGTTGATCTAATACATCAGTTTTCCTTATTGAATTTATATTTACGGTCGTTAATAAAATAAACAATGACGGAAACAGCTTATCAAACAGGATTTGTCTCCCTTGGGAATACTAGATATTTTCCAATTGAAGATGATTTATCGAGAATAAAATAATTTCCTCGTTATATTGGAAACATAACTTCGAATGAATCTGAACGTTCAAAGTCAAAATTTCTTTATTCAATATACGCTTAATTTAAGTTTTTATTGAACGTTACAACAAAAATACCACAGCTTCACGTGGTTGTACTAGTCTTTTTTTTAGGGCGCTCGGATGCGCCTCGCCTCGGGCCATTTCTTATTAATCTCACCGGTTTAGGAGGCCACCAAGCTCTTAGGCCGCTTTGGCGGAGGCTCCATGGAGTGACTAGGCTCAAGGGCCCCGGAGAGGCGGGAAGGGACTTCGTCTTGGGCTGTTACTCAATGCCCGTTTAGCATTCCGATTCGAGGGTGCCAGAGAGGGCCGAACTTCGGCTCGATCGGTAGCTATAATCTGACTGGAGGACACATAAAGGGTAATAACAAATACAGTAAGATATTTTGTCTTAAAAGCTGCTTGGAAAAAACAAAAAGGCAAAAACCCTTTTTAAGCTCATTTAAAAGTTTGGAGCAAATAGGGTCTTACGTCGATATATACTTAACCTTTTATTTTTGCATTGTTGATTAATTTATATTCTTGCTGCTCTTCAGCATAAAAACACTTGTCACAAGCATCTTTCAGATGTTGGATGGCCGCTTCTCTTAAAGTCCATTGTATTCTATTTAAGATATACATGTTTAAATCACAGCGATGAGATTATTGTTAAATATTATTTAAAATCTTGATTGATTTGTTACATTAATAATAAAATAGAAATCACCAGCATGTGTTGCAATGCACTTTCAATAGTTTTTACTTTTTTTTATAACGGACGAACATACATAAATTATTTTTAGGGTTCCGTACCAAAATATATAATTATATTTTTCATGTCTATATATATATATATGACTCTATCAGATCTATCAGAAGCACGGACACAACGTAACACTTCACCATTCTCCATCTGAGTTTAAGTGCGATGTCTTTGTTATTGTAAAGTTTTTTCATTTTCATGAAGGTGCACCTGGCGATTTATATTCTCGTACGGATTCCTTTTTCAGGGTCGGAGTCTTCGTTCACCCAGGTTCCGAAATATCTATATTTTTGAACTTTTCCGATGGTTTGGTTTGCTATTTTAATGTATCTGGCATTATCTCTTCCTTGTTAATACTCTAATTTAAGACCATACTCTAATATTTTGTGTTCAGTTGATCAAGCAGATACTGCAGGTCTTCGAGTGAGAGTGCCAGAAGGATGGTGTCGTCAGTATTTCTCATATTATTTATTACGGTACCCTTGACTTTAATTGCTGTTTCGATTCGAGAGATATTTAGAGATTGAACAGTAATAGTGAAAGAATTCATCCCTGTCTTACCCCTTTTAAAATTTGTAAGTTCCCCGTTCTGTGATCTCCTATTTTAATATGTGTGTTCTGATTCCAATACAAATTGTTTATTAATCTGATATCTTTACTATCTACCTCGGTTCTCTTTAAAATTTGCATCGATTTTCTGTGTTTAACGTTGTCAAAAGCTTTTTCAAAATCTATAAAGTATGCATACACATCTTTGCTAAATTCTCGAGACTTCTGTATTCTAATCCGTTACGGAAACCAAATTGCGTGTTTGATATATATTTATCAATTTTGTTGTATATTCTATGATGTAATATTTTTAAGAATACCTTAAGGGCATGTACTCATTAAGCTAATTAATCTATGATCAACGCATCTCTTTGCATTAGACTTTTTTGGAATTCGGAGAAATGAGGATTGAAGCCAGTCGTTTGGGAACTTTCCCGTATCATGAATTTCATTGTAAAGTTTTATTAATAACTGCAAACTATCGGTATCTAATAGTAATTTCAGCATGTTCATCTGGGCCATCCGCTTTTCCGTTCTTGATGCAATTAATGGCTTTTTCTACTTCCTCTTAAAGTATGGAGGGCCCTTCCAGTTGATGTTCGTGTTTATATGTTTCGCCATGTGAGTTTACCATCTCTCTCTCATCCCCAAACAGATCTTTTATATGTTTTTCCCAGGTCTTACATTGTTGCTCTTGACCTATAATTAACACATTTTCTGCATTTGTTAGATTTCCCGTTAATTTTTTTCTATTGGTACTTGTAAATTCTTTGATATTTTTATGTAAATTGAAGCTATCGTGATTCTTCTCTAATGTTTAGATTTCTTCGCATTTATCTCTATACCATTTATCTCTTACTTCTCTGATTTTTGATCGGATCACTATATCTATCTCTTTACATTTAGTCTTGTCTATTGCTTTATGTTTCTTTCTCTCTTCCATTAAATATAAAATTTCTTTTGTAATCTATTCTAGTTTTTTAGTTAGTTTTCTGTGTCCTAAACATGATTTTGCAGTATTAATAATTCGAGTTTTAATCTTATGCCAGAATTCTTCTATATCAATCGAGTTTACTGTTTCTGACAGTTTCCGGAGCTCTTCATCTAAAAGTTGTTGTGTTTTGAGTTTTATGTCTAAATTTTTGAGTTTATCAATATCATTTTTTTCAAAATTCAAACAACAAGTTTGGTTTCTTCGTTTAATCAAGCAATGATGCTTGGAGTTTTAACTTTAATTTAGTTACGAGAGGATTATGATCCAATCCAATGTCAGCGCCTGGGTATGTTTTCATATTTATAACAGAATTTCTAAATCTTGTCTGGGTCATTATGTAGTCTAATTGGTTTTTTACTATGCGATCCGATTTATCCATAGGCGAGATCCATGTGTATAGTCTACGTGGTGGTTGTTGACACCATGTATTTGTTATAACTAGGTCTCTTTCTACACAGAATTGTAGGCGTCTATGGCCTCTTTCATTTATTTCTCCTAGGCCAAAGTTTCCAACAGTTTTGCCTACTGACCCTCCTCCAGTATAAAATCACAAGAAGTAGTATAACTACTAGAAGGATTCTATCTCATCATCCGTTTTCTCGGCAGTGGGAGCGTATACTTGTAGCACATTAAGATTGAAGGGGCGGGCACTAAATTGTAATAGTATACATCTATCTGAGTATGGGACAAAGTTGGTAACGTATCTAGCAAGCTCGATGGTGACGTTCTTTCTCAACGGCAGGCTTTCCAGAGTGGTAAATTATTGTATCGTCCTTATCGATTTTTCCATTGTCCATCCATTTAATCTCGCTCAATCCCAAGATATCTTTCATTTCTTGAATGGTTTCCATGTTCAATACGTTCCATGTTCAGCTATCTTCAGTTACTGGTTCTGCAATTTCATGTTGATCATATTTTCTTCTTGTTTCATATTTTTTTCTCCGGTAATATATTTCACATCTGAGAGCCTGGTACTCCTGCGACGCCGGGTGCTAGCTGGTTCACCAGGCAAATAATTCCTTTAATTTGTACTAATCATGTTATGTGTGTTTTTTTTTCCCGTGCGGTGTTATTCTTAGGGTCTTGTTTTATGCAGTAATTTAGACCTCAAGGCTTGTTAGGCCTCTTCCAACCGGTGTGATCCGGTTGGTTGTCTAGCAGGGGGTACCACGGCTCCTTTTGGCCGCCGCCGCAATCCAGAACGTGCAGGTGGGGTTGACATTTGGGCCCGTTAGATGTTGTTTCAGACCCCTTACCCCACTTACCTAATAATTAGACAATGTAAATTTTCTGAGATGATGTATTTCTGTCACCGATATAACAACGAATACTAAAAAGCAGAATAAAGTAAAAAATATTTTAATGAGCTCCCATACAAGAGACGCGAGGCGGTTGATAGGCAAACTACCACTTACCAATTTTTTTATTATAGATGATGGTACGTGCGCGAGTCCGACTCGCACTTGGACGTTTTTTTAAAGAGCAGGATTTTTTTATTGGCGGAAATAGTTGTTGTACTATAATTGCATGATGAAGCAAGTTTTGTCCCTTAAATTAATTGAATATTTAATCTCGTTTTACAATATAACATTTAAGTAAAATAATGAGAGTAGAAAATAAAAGAAAAATGGAAAAATTTTATGAGTATTTTAAATTTTAAAACTTCAATTTAAGTCAGCAAATAACCGCCATCCTTTTACATATTTTAACCTTACGCTGATTGTACCCCTAATATCTTCTGTGGTATTTTTGCTCAGCGGTGGGACATCGATCTTCTAAGTAGTGACAGAGGAAACAAGAAAAATCTGTCCGTAAGAAATGACCGTAGTTTATGTATATCCGTTATTTTCGTGTGATTGCAGTTGTATTGCTAACTTTTAAGGGGGTACCTGGTTGCAAATTGACAAAGAAACTTTAGTTTATAAATACTTCTACTTCTATTTTACTAAATCCTTCTACTTTGTGTTCTGTTAAACCGTGGTATTCTCCTAGACGAGCTAACAAAAGCAGATTCTGCCCAGCTCGGCTCTTTCGCAGCAAGAATAGTTATTTTGTTAGTTAATTATTGGTTAGAGATTTTGAGTTTTTTAACTATCAAAGATATTTATTTAATTGTGATGAGAGAAAAAAATATTGCGTTACAATTAAAGGCTTTCGTATTAAAAAGAGTCATCTGGGCCGATATAATGGCTGCAATAACTATTGACTACCAACAAGCGTGGCCTATTTAATTGCAAGTTCACTTTTTAATTAAAGTAATTATTAGTTAAACTTCTAGTCTGCGGTCGTATTCAAACGCTATGTTGGTACCCGTGGGTGGTAGTTTTTGGTGTGTTTGGTAGAAGTTTTTTATGTTATACGTGATTGTAAAATTGTTACATATTGCCGATTCAATGAAGCTGGCGTTACCGTAAAAATGTATGTATATGAAGTTCTTTTTCATTCCGCGGGTCCTTATGTCCTAGATAGGGCAGACACCAGCCCTGTTGTCTCGAGCTCATAGAATAATAGAGCTAAGGTATCCCCTGCCTGTCGTAAAAGTCGACTAAAAGAGGACACGGATTGGCAGCAGCACGAAGTGGCTTCGAGCTGATGGCGAGGGAATCGGGGAAGGTTTACCCATAAGGGTTCGGTACGGGGCGTGAGCACGCCTCGTTTAAACGAGGCGTGCTCACGCCCCGTACCGAACGACAACCCGGACATCCCGGAGTCCCTCCAAACGTATGGAAGGTGGCCACCGAGGGGGTTTTAGTGGGTAAGAACCCCACATAACCCTTTCGATTTTTAAGATTTCCTCCACGATACCAAAAAAGGTCGAACCGACACAGCATGTGATTAATTTGGTTAATTCTATCGGTTAGATATCTAACGGCTGTCTGACATTTACCCTGTTATGTCTATAAATATTTGTGGGTCACACAAATATAGGTACGTGTTGTGTTCTATTGTTACTACCGATATACAGTTATAATCTAATCTTAGTTCTAACAAGTTGTTTAAATGCTTAAAGCGTCCTTAGTGTAGAAGACTTATAATATTTTTATTCAATAAAAGTGTGCAGATTTAGTAAATTAAAAAAATACGTTTCTCTTCAGTTCCGAAATTGGATTGTTTAAACTCAAATTACTCAGTATGTTTATGTTGTGGCTTATCTTGTTTGATTAAAGAACGATTTGCCTTATTGTTGAGATTAATGCATATAGAGCTATCTATTTATCTAACATAAACCGTGTGGGGATCGAGCCCGTAATCCCCGGCGCCGAAGCCAATGCCTTAGTAATTGCGCCACCGAAAAATAGATATGCATACATACGTATTGATTTTACGCTATTGATACAAATAGATGCTATTTGTTCTAGCTAGTTAAGAACTAACGTGTAATAAACGATTTCATCATCATCATTTTCTTATCGCAATCCACTGCTGGACATCAGATTTTCGGCTAGTCGCATCATATTGTTTTCAGTCACCCTGGGAAGATCGTCACACTATCTTGCCTGAGGGCGTCCTACAATACGTTAAGAAACTTATAACTATAAGAGACTTATACCAATTAAAACCTTTAATCTTGAAAAAAGAAATGGAAGCTTAGAACATTATCTGATACATTTTAGTTAACATCAAGAATAATATGTTTATATGTTGTTAAAGAAGGTAGAATTTGAAACAACCTCAATACAAAATGTTATGCTCAGATATTTTAAAGGTCATGTCCATAAATATGTCACAAGTACCGACGTAGTTTAAATTAGCGTAAACCTGTAGTTTCTTATCTATATAATCGCTGTGGGAATCGAACCCACGTCTTCGGCATTCGCGGCCTGACGCTCTACCCACTGAGCTAAACGGCTCATAGCCACAGCGACGACCGTTAACTTAAAAAACTTTAAAATTTATTTAATGCTAATCAACATTGTTATGGTCTACATTGCGTAAAAGCATCTAAGACAAGTATCCATTGGATTTATTCTTAGGTAGGTTTGTTGGTAACTTTCATAATCTTAACGGTGGTAGTACCACGCAGCAGCTCCGAAGACCAGCGTAAAGTGGAAGTATGACAAATACTTTCGCGTTTCGTCTGGTGAGTGAGGTAGCCGGAGCCCAATTTTCAAAAGGTTGTCAATGCATCTGTAACCCTCGGGTGTGGCAGATGTCCATGGGCGGCGGTATTCACTTAACTTAAGGTGAACCGTCTGCACGTTAGACAATTTTTCGCATTAAAAAAAATCTAGGCTCATTTATATATTTTACCTTGAACTATACGCGTTTGAGTATCAATTGTCTTTATTACAGGGTTTAATTAATTTTATAGTTTATTTAACATAGCCAATTATAATTAGACTGCCAGTATAGTCAAAGAACAAGCATTTTTCTCTGAAAAGGACAAACACAGTTAATATTAAAGCAAGACGTCAGTGGGGTAATCTAACAAGTTGAATATAACTTAGAAAACTGAAATACCCGACTGCGTTTCTGTGTAATTTTTTATTTTGATATATCCAGTGTCACGTAAATACGAATCTAATGACACCTCTCAGGCTAAAATCCATCAAGCTGTTCAGGCTGCAGAGTGTGCCAAACAATTATACATACGTACATACTCTCGAAAAACATAACCCTCCTTCTGGCGCAGTCGGATAAAAATGAGACATCCGGTGGATCCATCAGCAACTAAAATGGGCGTTAAAGCCACAAATTTAGAACGCGTTTATTTAGCAGACCATCGCGTCGCTTGGGTACAAAGTGAAAGCTTGGACTAATCACAATTATTGACGCACGAATAGCGACAAACGTCCACCGGTCGAGTGGGAACCGCTTTATGGTAACGGCTATTTAGCGGTCCGGGAATTCCGCCGGCCCAATTGAAAGCGCAAACAAATTAATGTCAAATATTGGTTGCGGCCATGACTAGAGGCTCGTTACCGATTCCAACACTATCACACAACACCGGTAGCGTTTCCGACATTCTATTAAACATTCCGCCGGGCGACGTCTATTTCTTGAGAATTAACCGCTATGTTTGTAATATTTATGATTGCATTTCAAATTGTTATTATTACGTTCCGTTGATTTGATATTGCTGTAGCGGCAATAGCAATAGAGCTGCCGAATTTGATCATAACTTTGTTTCCTATTCCCCCAACTACCAAAGCCATCTTCCGATATTAATATAGCATGTTTACCCCCAAATGGGTTTTGTCAGCAAGATCTAATTTGTTCCTTGACTAAATAAACACGACGAAGATGACAATCCGTAAATGTCTTACTATGGGTAGCTTGTCAGTGTCACCTCTGTAGTTGCGGGTATATACAATAGCACCCCACATAACCTTATCATATAATGACAGAGTATCTTTCGAAGATTTCCCCCCCGACACCAAAAAAGGCCCTTTCAATATTTGGAGTTTCCTATATACAGTATAATTGCTACTGTAGGGGCACCGAGTGCTGTTGGTATTTGCGATTTCTGATCGAGTTGGATCGAGGTGTAATACGGCCTGCTTGAGTCCCATTCGAGTATCGTCTAGAGGCTTTGTCAAAACCATGACATCAATTTCAAACTCTTGGTTGTTTTCTATCTGTCTTTCTAGTTAGTGGTTTCCGTGAAATATGCTAGTATACTAAAATCGTCGAATCGTTCATCTGCAGACACGAGCATCGTCGATGATCAGAATGACAGGAAACCAGAAACCCCTGTCACATGAAAATCCCACGCGATGCTTCATCTATTCACACAACCCTTGATCCGCCGTCATTAATGAATGTTATCACGCCCTGTTTTATACAAAATCGCTTTCCGTCATTCGCTTTTACGATATCGCCCGTGACACGTGTCGCTTTTGTTTATCGCGCTATTGTGTTTACCAACGGGCCATAGCGAGATTCCGCTAAGCATTGAACGCTTGTTATTAGGCAAATAGTGCTTTGAATTCTAGCGGTTGCAAAAAATCAATATTTACGTACGCAGAATTGCAAATGACACCAAATTAACGAGTTTAGTGCTATCAATAGCAATGCTATGTTCAGATAATTAAACTTATACTATACAATATATTGTATTCGATAAGTGATCATGCGTAAATATATAAAAAAATGGTTCGAATGAAAAGGAATTATAAACATAGTGAAATATATAAATATGTTTATACTTTCTTTTCATTCGAAGGCTTATTCTTGAATGTCTCACAGTGACAGTGGAAAACTACAAATATGTTGAATCTAAAAGAAAATTTTTATTCTTTAAGAAAGATTGATTGAATGAACGAATATTTTATTTTAGTTCAACAAATAGCATTGTTATTCACTTTCTTGTATTTCAAATGTTTTTTGCTCTATGTCTCCAATAGCTCATGATTGTACATTTTTCTTTTTTTGCGTTGTTATAATATTTATTAGGTGATGTTTCCTTGATAGTTGCAATAGTTCTACTACCAATAAATTTGTTTTCTGCAAGGAAATAATATATAAGGAAAAAAATATTTAAGGACAAAATTGTAAATATCTGCACGCTTTATGTAAATTTTTATTTCGTCTTTTGTTCTCGTTTGTCTTCAATAAAGTAAATAAAATAAAATATTGCTCTAGTGCATGCTGTAATGTTTTAATTAATTTTGTTCCTTATAGCTACAGAGATAGTTCAACAGACAGAAACAGACACTTTCAGCAATATTTAAATTAGAGATGAACAAGTGTGAATACATTTAAATAAGAAAATGGCTAAGATTTTAAATAATGTGGTTACCAGAGCCGAGCACTACATTACTTGTATGTTTCGGAGCCCGATGTTGTCTTAAGTTCTACGTAGACTATAAATAGCATAATTCATAACTAGTTTGCCTAACGAGGGTCAAATATTAGCGCTTTGCGTGCTCGCTCGCACAAGCTGCGACACCTACGAAAAATCTATCTAGGTTAAGAGTATTTCGTGTTCTATTTACATCAGTTTAACGCAATGACTTATAATTATGCCAAAAAGGCACGGTAAAAACCAGACAAGTAACGGTAGAAAAATCAATCAAGTTTATTAAATTTCCAGGAAAATTGGATGATAGGTTTGAATTTCTAATTTAATTTTGTCAGTTAAACCGAATCGTCGGATTAACGGAATTGTCTTTATTGTCGATTTGGTTTTATTACTATATCAATAACAGGTTTTTGTTATTTTTTCTCAATGCTGGAGTCTATGTTATGGTTTTGTGCTACTGGTATACTTCATTATACTGACTTAAAATTTTACCCTCGATATGGTGAAATATATTTGGATTTTCATTACATGAGGATCATGATATTAAAAAATACTTTGCTTCAAAGTAAACATTAAAAAGCTTTAAAATATAAATATTTTCATCTCTTTCATAATAGATTGTTTCTGCTTGTACGGAGTGAAGGTAGCCGCGACAAGGGTTCGACGCAGGCAGCATCGATACGCGCATAGACGTGAGGTCGGCGCTGCGCCGCCCCGCGACCCCCCCGCGACCCCCGCCCGCCCATCGCCCCGTGCCGCACGCCGCCCGACCGAACGCGGCACTCCGCACGCTCCACGCCGCCGCGGCCGCGACTCCGCTCGTCGCTATACCACCCTGCACCGCGTTTACCGACCAATTGACCTCACCACCACCAATCGCAAGTGTCGCATATTCATCACAACACCCGGACCTGGTGAAAATAAACATTGCGGAACGAACGACGCGCAAGCGCGCATCTCGCGGCCATGACGACATCGGCCATCTTGCTCGAGGACGCACTCTCGCCTCGCCCAAGAATTGGAGCCTAATCGGTGGTTCAGGGACCCGGTCTGAGGGAACGATGCGTGGAGGCCGGTGCTCGGCGGGCACACGTTGAGCCCGCACCGCGCCGCCGTTATCGATCCGACGGGGCGCGATGGCGCTCGTGTGAATGCGGACATCGGGACCGCGCAGCAGCCGCGTGCCAGCGAAGCGCCCGTCCAGTGACAGTGCTAGAGTGGCCGCGCGGTATGTGAGACGGCGTGCCGCAGCGGCTGGGTGGGCGCGCGGGCGGCGGCGGGGCCGGTTGGCCGCGCGCCATGGGCGACGAGTACGCGCGCTCGCCGTGCGAGCGGTTCCCGACGGCGGGCGCGTTCAGCGTGGCGCCGCCGGAGCGGCTCAGCCCGCCGCCGCCCGCGCCGTTGCCGGACCGCTTCTCGGCGTCGCCGCGGCGGGTGCGCCGCAGCGCGGAGGCGGAGCGCGCGCGGCTGCCGCGCTACGTGCCGCCGGCGGCGCACGTGCCCGTGGAGCGCTACGTGCCGCGGCCGCCGGGCCCGCTGCGCCCGCCGCCGCCCGTCTACTGCGGCCTGGCGTGCCGGCCGCCGGCGCCGCGCAAGTGTTGTGGGCCCGCGTGCAGAGAGGACCTTGTCGGCTCGCCGCCACCCTCGCGCTACGTGGAGTACGTGGGCGCGGCGGCCGCCCGTCGCCTGGCGTGCACGCCACCGCCGCCGCCGCCGCCCGCGCTGCAGCTGCCCTGCGAGCCGCAGGAGCCGCCGTGCTGCGTGCAGGCCCGACGCCGCACACAGCCGCCGCATGATTGGTGAGTTTTATTCGCACTCCAAATCTTTATGTACGAAAATTTAGTTTCCGTATTATTTTTTGTCCACAAAAGTCAAAAACTAGCCGATGGATTGACTTGATGGTATTTGATAACGACATAGCTATTTAACAAAAGAGTATTTTTATATACTTTTTATTCCGAAGTTAAAACAGAAACGAAAAAAAAAAAACTATAGTGCAGCCGTGGTTTTACTAGCCTAACTCGTGGCTTAGGCTAGTAAAATACTGAAATGATAATGTCGGAAAGAGATCGATCTAAATTCGTGAACATATTCAATATTTCACTACACAACTACCCATCAAACGTTATCAGCAAATTATTAGCACTCTTTTTTTAAAAGTATGATTAATGATGTTACCGCAAACGGAGAGTGCCCAAGATTTTACCTAAAAGAAACGTGAATAAATTTACTTATAATGGCCTGTATTGAATATTGGTCAAAAATAATTTTATCTAATGATTTAATAAAGTGTCATTGATTTTGTTTTTGCTCTTTTTAATTTTTCGGTGTTTTAGAACAACACACTTTATGCTGCATCCCTTTGTAGATTCCTATAATTAAAGTTGGTAAATTAAAGAAAATTCGATTTTCCCGACATGGCGGACATTGTTCTCAAATTAAATATAAGGCCAATAGAATTGTTTTGTTAAAGTAGACTATTATGTGAAATTAAATTTATGTTAAAGTGAGTTTGACCTTATTCGTTTGTATATTAATTGCTAATTGCATTGCTTTCTTGATCATGTGATCAAGTAAGAATTTTCCCTTTGTTATTATTTTTCATATTTAATTGAGACATTCAATTGCGTTTAATGCAAATAGTTAAGTTAGATACAATTTAAATAGGTAAGTAAGATACATTTAAAACTATTTCCAAGCATCCTATTTTTTATGGTTATTTAAACGATTTAAGTTTAAAACAGTACAAAACGTCCTCACCGCATGTTACTAAATCATGGTGTTACATAACTACATAGTATAAAAAAATCGTCCCGCTGTTTGTCTGTTCCTATATATGCTAAGATCTTTAAAACTATTCAACGCATCTTGATGCGGTTTTTTTACTAGATAAAGTGATTCACAAGGAAGGTTTATATGTATAATAAGTTGCACCCGTGCGAAGCCGAGGCGGGTCGCTACTACATATTATAATATTGGTATAAATTTCTTGAGAAAGCGTAATATGATTGAGATAATCTGTTCTGTTGGTCGTTAAAGCTGTCGGGATAACTTTTCAGAAGGAACGCTCCTTTCTTGGAAATCAGTATGTAGTATATTCGGTTATAACCATCGAGTGGATGAGGGTCCGCTAGACGAAGGCAAATACCTCCTTTCAAATAACGTACACAAAAAGGTCGTTTTCAATGTTCCACGTCCGTGTTCGCGTTTCGACGGAACCTCTGTCAGTTCACGTCAAATGGACGTTGATAAAAACTATCCCGGCATCCTTTTCATTTGTTTGACCGTTAAAGGAGTCCGGTTGTATTGTTAACGTGATTTTTACTTGACTGCTGTTGCTTGTTGACTGGTAATGTTTTTTGGGTGTATTTTTTTTCTTCCGTGCGTGTCCATGTGACCGAACTGCTCGAAAACGGCTGGGCCTATTTTGATGAATTTGTGTGTGTTCAAGTGGATTCTGGAATACTATAGATTCACAATTCGGTCCACTAAAAATGTTTTTTTAACTAATTTTTTATTGTTGTATTTACGTGTATATGTTGTTGGATTTAGGAGTATGACTGATGAACAGGACAATATCTGACGGATCCACTAGTATAAAAAAGTCTTAATCTTTTGAAGGATTCAACATTGAAAGTTAAACTTTTAACTTTAATGATCAATGAATAATGTTTTAAAGATTATATTGGGTGCTATGCGATGTTTGTATTAATAAACCTCTTACTGTATAAAACAAACTATCGAACCTGTTTTAAGGGCCAGTGAAACGGACAGGAGCGTAAAAATTTATAGTTTTTGTATTTTCTGTAAAGGTTTTGTTTCTGTAAGATTTGAATAACTAGTTGCTTTTACATGAAACTTCTCTTTTGTTTCTTATTTAAAGAGATCACGGTTAGACTGATAATCACTGATGTATTTGACTTTGACCGTGACTGTTCAATCTGTTATTTTCATTTATGTTTCTTTCTGCCTAAATTGCTATTAAAAATCACTTAAATTTTCTGAGAAGTCACCTATTTGCGTAGTCGGTTAAATCAGAGAAAAGTCTGGCATACAGGTAGACATAAATACTGAACATTTTTATAATAAGTAAGTCAATTTAAAAAGCGGACTGCGTAATACCGGACTGCGTAAAACCGGACTGCGTCAATATATTTAAAAAGGCCAATATACTAATCTGATGGAAGGATACTCTATAATCGGTTATAATTTTTTCACATTATAGCGTTCACCTAGTTGTAGTCATACCGAATTTTTATTACTGTCACTTCTTTAGTGACTCTCGTAAGGTATTCTCGACAATTCGATTGATGTAATCGACCCATGCGTTTGATTTTCGTCACAAAGGAACAAAAGTACACACGAGGGGATGAACATATTACTTACCCTCTTTTTTGACACACCTTTTGGTAAAAACACTTTTGTTTGGGTCTCGGCTATGTATATGCAAATAACCATACGGAATTAAGAAATTGACTTTATTTAGTAATTGTACATCTTTAAATGTTTATAAATTTCAATATCAATCTTCTTTAGTTTACTAGGCTACGTTAGTATACTTTAATCAACGTGTAAAAAGTTAATAAAAGTTTAATTTCATCCTATACAATGTTATTTATACGTCAACTTAAATGCCTTTCGATTTTTTTATGTGCTACCACACCTTTACTTAAAGGGATTTTACTGTTACAGTTAAGTTTGATTGTGGAGTACTTTTAATTTGCTTTGATCGTCATTGACATAGGTACTCCGATATAACATATATTATTGTAATATTCTGTGCAATGGTTATCATGATTTTTAGATTTTATGGCAACGTCAACATAAATCATCTTTCATTTACCGCAGATATTGAGATTAGATATTGCATAAGATAATTTTTTTGAAGTTATACATCGAAAAAATTATGATAGATAAAATTTTATTTTATGTTGCGCGCGCACACCGACACCCAAAAAGTGACATGATGAAGTTTGTACCCTGAGGCTGATGAAGTGGGATGGAAATCGGTCGCTTTCCAACCAACAGCTACCAATTTCGCGGTATTGCCATGGGAACCAATTACGACTCTTTGACATTTACCTATAAGACCACGTTATCTCTTATCCTTTAAACGAGCAATTCTTGTATATATATATATATAATCGGAATCTCGGAAACGGCTCCAGCGATTTTCATGAAATTTAGTATGTGCGTAGATTCGGGGGCGAAAAATCGATCTAGCTAGGTTTCATTTTTAGATGTCCTTTTATCTCTGTTTTCAGGGTTTGAAAAATATCATTCGAATATGACGGTAAATTTCGCCGCAAAAAAATGTTATAATAGCTCGATCGGTAATCGAGCGGCCCCAAAACAGACGGCCGTGGTTCGTATCACGATCATTTACACACTTATTTTTTTACTTTTTTTCGATTCCAGATCATTGCTTTCTTTATTTTTAATTTTTTATTGATTTGTTATTTTGTTATTTTTTTCCCTTTTTTTTTTAAAGTTCTCGGTCCTCCGGGTACTTTAATTAAACCGTTATCAACTGCGTTTAATCTTTTGTTACGCTAAAGATGTATAACTTCTTACGTGCGTAAATTAAGTGTACATGTCCTTTTTTAATGGAGAGATTGCGGTACTCAGCAATGTTTAATAGCATTATTAAAAAATGTCTGAATTGGTTCGGAAGATCCTGGGATTAGGGTAGATACAAACAACAACGAACATAGTTTAGCTCGTTATAATATTAATATAATCTGTTCATGTCATCGTTTCGTGCAATGTTGAGAAAAAAACATTTTTAAGAGTAATTTTACATTTATGACTCCTTCAGTCTGCAGCCTTAACGAACGAGTTGTTATTGTTTCGTTGGATTGAAATCAGTTGAATAACGCCATTGTTATATAATGTAACATTTAACCACCCCGACGTAATGCTGACTGGATAACGCGTTGTTTTCTTTGTATGTTGTTTCACGCAGTTTCTTTATACGGTTCGTTTTATTAACGGCTTTTTTAATGTCGCCCGGGCAGCCGTTTTATGACATCGATGGCATTTCGCTCGGGTCTCGTGAAAAATCCATTAAAAACTTTCGCCACTCCTAACATAAGCGCGACCTTCCATTGCCTCTTTTTAATATTGAACGCGATTTAATACTCCAATCGAAATTAAAATCCTATTCTCGAAATGAAATAAGCAAAAGTGGAATGACCCTAAATCATTCAGCAGATGAAAAGTTTACTTTTAAGTTTTCTGTACGCATTGTAGTACGTATTTGTCGAAATTCGGATATCTAATTGGACGCAACTTAAAGTGTGTTTTGTTTGCGTAAAAGTTGACTACATAAAATGTTTCGTAAAAATTGTTGAGGAAATTAGAAGAATATATATTCAAAAATAGAGAAAGATGAATATTATTGTTAAAATCCTTGTTTGAGTATCGATAACACTTAAATACCTCTAAGGATTCAGTTTTGTTATTACTATTATGTTAATTAATCAACATGAAGATCAAGAGAGACACGTAAATTTTACTTATTTTTCATCTATACACGACTTTTACCATGCACCTTCGCCGTTACTTTGGATTAACATGTCTGACTGTCACGTCATGATTATTGGTAAACTAGACCTTGTAGTATTGTAATGAATTCGCTTTCACCCTTATGGTGGTAAATGGTATATTTGAAATTATAATGTTGCAATTTCAAGAAGTTTTGATTTGATATCAAATCCAAATCCAAGGTCTTTCAGCACAAGTAAAGGGAAAATTCTGAAAAGTAATTGAAGGTAAATTTTGATTTTCGCCAAAATCTA